ACAGTAAAAATCCCTCCAATTAAAATACCAACAAACCTCCAGTTTAACTTCAAGAAAGCCATTTTGTATAATAATATTCAGGAGAATTTTCTTTTTAAATGACCGTTGGAGTATCATAAAAATTAGTCAACTGAAATATTGTGACTAGTTTCTAGATAACACAGTGGCAGGAGGGGGTGGAGAGGGAGGGAGAGAGAGAGAGAGAGAGAGAGAGAGAGAGAGAGAGAGAGAGAGAGAGAGAGAGAGAGAGAGAGAGAGAGAGAGAGAGAGAGAGAGAGAGAGAGAGAGAGAGAGAGAGAGAGAGAGAGAGAGAGAGAGACAGCAGGAACAAGCTTTTCAGACAGGAATTAGTTTGCCCTTCCCCCATCCCTCTTAGCACTACTCACTCAAGCAAACAGCCACCACTGCACCAATCATTTCAGTATTCTCAACGCATCCTGCTGACTGGAAACTTGCCTGTTATTTATTTCCATTCACTAGCCTAGAGTTCAACACATACCAATAGTAAACATAAATTTTTTTTTTAATTAGCCTGACTCATGAGTATAGCCAGAAAACATGGGCCAACTATGGAAGACTCATATGCGCAGAGATTAAAGAGATGATATAAATAAGTGTATATTTTCAGTGAGAGAGAAAAGTTTGCTGATCAATATCTGGAATTACATTCCATTGTCCCTCCCATAGCAGTCACTTTCAGATCAATATTTACATCACATCTGGTTAAAGGCCACTTAATATAGTAGTGGATATATAGGGTTTTCATATGTATAAAACCCATTAAAGATGCACAATTTACCCATCACTGGAGATCTCTCATTTAATTTGGCATTGAGCAGCTTTCGGCTGATGAAGACGTAGCCACAAGGACAGGATTTACAAGCCACAGGAATCTGAGAGAAAGAGAAAGAGCTCAGTGTAGCAAGAACACACTAAATTAATATACAATGGCTGTCTAAATATTTCACAACACTGGAGAAAGAGCACTTCAATATTAAGCATTCACAAAGGGATAAATATGGTGTGCCTTAATAAAGACAACATTGATGTGTCCTTTGACTGAGGAAAACTGACACTGACTATAGTAAACAGGAAACAACCTTATAGTTTTCTGACACAATGTTTCGCACAGTCTCCAAAACACAATGGCACAACATAGTCTACTGAATTTATCTGCAACGACACGAGTTCTGTTTGTTCAAGGGTAAAATAAATATTGGTAATTTTTATCGTTTATAATGTCAATATATGCTCTCATCATAATTACAAATGGTTGAAGTCTTCAGATAATATCATTCACATTTCTAAACAGTTTAATCGCAGAGATTAGCGTTCTTCGTGATATTTGACGAGGCGAACACAGAATGCATGAAACCTATGAAATTTCATTGTTTCAATCCAGTAAGCAGAAAATTATTGTACAGCTTTACACGTTTTCATCGCCAAAGTAAAATGAAAACAAAAATCAGAGGCTAATTATGTGATAATATACATAATATCACTTCAATCGTCAAAAATGAGAAAAACATATTTTACATCACGTAGCAACGTTGTTTGTAACTCATACACATCTAATGAATAACTTTGCCTCATTAAAGCACACACCATACTAAACATAACAATTCGGCGAATGAGAACTTAAACAAAAACACAAAAATGTATTATTCTTTCTCAGACAACACCTCACCTGTTGGTCACACTCCGGGCATGATTTGGTGGCCATCTTCACTTTCTTCACTTTGTTTGTAGACATATTTATGACGAAGAGCTTCAATAATATCCCTTGACCGAACAGCAAAACTTCCAGCTGCACTAACGCACACAGAGATGTGCAGCTGATCGCGGGATCCCGGGAGCTCAGACACTCACTAGCCGTCCGATGAACCATCAACCGCACTATACACACTGCGCATGCGCGTTGTAGACTAGAGATTCGAAAATCGGTCCATGGCTGGCGGCTCACGTGACCCACAGCTACAAATAAACAGATTAGGCCCTTTTTTTGACAACACACTCAAAAATTTAGTATTGTTCGTCACAAAAGCAACTTTTGGAGAGCAAATGGCAATATTAAATATTCAAGGTATTTCCAGATATGTCCAGCTATTGCCTGGGGTACTCTCGGAGCATGCGCACTACAGCACGACAGTCACGTGGATGAACAATACGTGCTGATGTAGGTGAAATCATAGGGTGAAATATGCTGGTTGAGGCACGGCCATCACTTTTTAATATTATGACTTGATGAAAACAACTGTTCGATTACGATGTATATGCGACTATAACTATCAATATGAATATATAATACACTCACATAAAACATTTTAATGAATGGCACCATGTGACGAATGTAGCCTTTAACATGTATTATGTTTGCAACTGTCAATTTTTGTGTGGAAGTGTGTGAGAGCATTAGATCTGTATTACTTTTCGCTATTTCAAAAACACCATCCTAAAATTGTTTAACCTATTGTTCCCTCATATTGATTTGCAAGTTTGTTTGAGACACCAATGATTTTCTGTATGCTGTACTATAATCAGTGTCTCCTTTTTGTAGGTTACTCGCTTGCTCATTGTCATAACCTACACTGGAATATGTATAACAAACTTTTCTTTCTATAGGCTATGTAAGTTGTAAGACTAGTTCTGCAATATGAGCATAATTGTGAAAGGATCTGATTACTCTTTAACAACAACAATTTCTGTGAACAATATTCCCAACAACCTGGCAAACTGATCCCAGCTATAAAAAAATCTAATATTTGGCAGGAGTATATATCAGGACTTATATCAGGAGTATCTTGGAAATATCTTAAATCCTGTCAATTTTTATACATATAAAATATTACATTTCATTGATATGAGCGCTCATTTCATGACTCAGATGTGAAGATAATGTACTTTGTAGCATTTAATCGATCTGATTTATCAACATTCTTATCAGATGTTTTAATAGCAATCACACTTCTTACATGTCTTCTGCTTCCTTTTGTAATGTTTTTGCCAACTCCTCTTAACCCCACCCATTTGACAACATGGGACACATTCCTATAATTTTCAAAATACAATTAAAATGCAAAATACATTCATCCCATCATCACAAAATACAATCACTACTGAAAAAGTGTGCATGAAATAGAAATGCATGAACGGGAATATGTTTTTGTTTATAATACAATAACTTGGATAAATATGTGAGAGATAATCATAGAGCTGATTTTTATTTTAAAAGCTAATTACTTAATTATACTAATCTTGAGTAACGTGAAAAAGTCAAAAAACACATTTCCTCATCCTTTGCAATTATGTCACCATTATAGAGCATCTGCAGCTTTTACAGTACTAGCCTGTTTTGTGGTTTGTGGAAAGCATCACTCGTTTAATCAAGTAGGCCTATTATTTCCCCAAACACTGCACATCATTGCTTGAAACACAACCCTGGTGTTTTGAAATTACAACATAAAAATGTAGAATTTCGTCCATGTCATTTGAAAATGCTGAATGCTGTCAAGTGCTTATTGAAACAGAAAGGACAATCTTAAAAAGATATTATGTGTGGCTCTGCAGACTTGTTGGTTGCACTGTGGGAACCCCATATCCTCTTCATATGCTAAACAAGCCATTGTTCAACACAACACTGCACAACACTGCCAAGATGACGTAGGCTATACTGGTACATAGAGTGTTAATGACGTTTTCAGTGTGACTGAAAGTGAATCTTGTTTGGGAACTAACTGGATTTTTTTCTTTTTGTTATGTTAAAACATTTCACTGTCATGCCAGCCGTTATAAGTGAAACCACTCTTCAGTTTCACCAAATATTTGCCTCTTATAAAAAATAACTTAATAAATCAATAAAAATAATAAAAAGCAACCTGACAAACAAATGCTGTGGTACCAGTGAGAGGTAGATATTCTAAAAATGCTTAAGTGTTAAGATTAACAAACAAACAATCAAACATTAGGCTGTTATTGAGAAACAGCATTGTTTCCTATAGATGGCAGCATTTCATTTAGAGTCTACAAAAAACTTTTTTTTTTACTTCTTCAGGATTTGACTTTAATTTTTGGTGAAATCCATATGCTTAATTTAGGCACTCACAGTACGTTAAAAATGAATGAAACAGTAGGCCTATGATTTTACGAACAAGCTTTATTTACTCTAGTCCTCTTACGTAGGTGTGATGCTATATTCATTATATATTATTGTGACTGGTCTCTATGTAATTATATGATCTCTATTACTCCTGTCCTGATTATTCAAGGAATTATTAATCGAGTAACATACGGTAGGCCTAACCCCTTTAATTGTCACTACAAGAAACAAGGTAAAGTGTTTTTCTTAAATAAATCTAGTGGGTCAAAATTTCTTTAACACATTCTTGCTCTTTTTCTTTCATTCTAAACAATGATTGACCTCAAGAGACCCCCAATATGTTTCGTGTAATATGACACATTGTGAGAATGCTTAGCTTCTCCTCTCACCATTTCAATGTGATGAAATACAAAGGACGTAAACAAGAAGATAATTTCGTGTTTATTGACACTGGTCGGAATATTAGAAAATCTGAGGTCGGTCTTATTCACCTTTATGCTCCCTTTGCTACCAAACTATGGTCTACCCAAATGTGTGAGAAAATCGTTAAAAGGATAGCTGAAAACAATTTTTTTAATGACCAGACATGTCACATGTCATCTGAAACGGCAGGTTTGAACGTTGGTTGCAGGCTCTCGTGTGTGTGTGTGTGTGTGTGTGTGTGTTGTGTTCTGATGAAATTTTGGCCTGCTGTGACAGTCGGAAAGTCTCCTCCCCTCATACACATCCACCGGCTGCGCTAAACCATACAGCACCGGGTATTGTAGTTTTATTTTGAGCCTTGAATGGTGACGGTGTGGTGAAGCAGCAGCGTGAGAACTACAACCCCCATGGCGAACAGAAACATGATCGCACTGAAAGAGAGCGCATAAAGATTGGCGGGTGGATGATAGTAGGCGAGGATGAGGTGATTCTGAGGGTAATGCAGTCAAGCACTTGAGAATGCTGATCGGCCTTGTACATAAGAAGCATTTTTTGAAGTGATTTCGTTTTTTATTTGTCAATTTTGCCCTGTAATTGTCCTAACTGGCGGTTAAAACGACGGTTACAGTATCTTTTAAAGTTGCGTCCCTTCACGCGCATCCTTGTTTCGAGCTTTTGAAAGGTTCACCGGACAGACTCGACTTCCTCAACCTGCCGACATGTATCGCTTGCAGTTACTGGCAGCTCGGTCACTGATCGCCGGAGCTCTCGATCAGTTTACCCCATTGACACTAACATCATCTCTTACCGGGGTAAGACACAAATCTCAAGGTCCGTCCGTGGAGAAGTACGGTCAGATGCGCTTCAGCACCGCCGAGGCTAAAGTGTCTGCTGGGAGCCTGGACGGAAAGATGCGGGAGAAGAGCCTGACTATGGACACACTGAACCCGCAGGTGAAGGCTGTGGAGTACGCCGTGAGAGGACCCATCGTCATCAAAGCTGGAGAGATTGAAAGATGCTTGGAGGAGGTGAGAAAATGTTCAAATACCCATTTTACACTTAATGCTCCCAAGTAAAGCATCCAAGAGCTAGCAGCTACATGTTTGTAATTATTCCCAGTCTGTGGGTTTTGGATACCCCAATTACATTTTTTTAAGTTAAAAAAAAGTTTCTTTGCACAATTGTAACCAATTGCAAAATACAGTCAAATTGTTCTGTTAGACCCAAAAGAAAGTTGCTAACAATCCTTAAACATTTTTCGTTTTCAATAGGCTAAACTGTTTTTTTCACTTCTACTTTTTTTTAATGCGAGTAGCCTATATATTTGTGTTTCTAATTGGTCACTAATCTGACTACTGATTTAAAGTGATTGTTTTTTTTTTAAAGATTACTCAGACTCATATCACACTCTTAATAGCCTTTAAATATTATATGTATAAATTGTGGTTGTTGTTTGAATATTGTTTATAACATGCTTCCATTTCTGGAGATTTGACACGTACATCTTTTTTCAAAGGAATAAACCAGAAACCACTCTGGATTTCAAGATAGCTGGTGTAAATGACCTAGGCTGCATTTCCCAAAAGCATAGAAAGCCCAAGTAGATTGTAGAAGCATTTTCCACCAATGGTCTCTACGATCATCTTAGGCTATAGCTCACAATGCTTTTGAGAAATTCAGCCTAGGCCATTTACACCAGCTATCTTGAAATATTCATTATTCACCTGTAAATAAAACAGACAGAACTTTCATTTGTAGTTTATAACACTATGTAAAATATAGCAACAATTTCAAGTCAATTTTGGTCACAAATGTTACTGGTGGGATTAAATGTCCATTTTAGGGGGGAAAAGAATAACTAAAAAAATTAATATTCAAATTTGCTGTGAGATCACTTCTAATTAACACTAGTCTCTCAATCGATCTGAAGACACCCCTTAGGGGATACTGCTTTTCATACCAAATGTACTCTGTGGTTGGAAGTAACATACAAAATGATCCGCCCTACATGCCTTGTAGTTTTTGCCCCTTTCCTTTCTTCTTGTGTCCATGGCGGTTGCTTTGAACGGAACAGGGCATTCAGTCCACTTTCTGACCTTCTTGCAGTGCCATTATCAAAGCAATGCAACAAAGGTCTCTGATTGGTGTGGAGCTGACCATTCAGCAGTAATATTAGTATATATCAGCAGATGTTAGTTTGAGCTTGCATGCTCAGCAATGACATGATCATTTAGGAAGAGCTATATTTGTATCCCATGAACAGGTGTCTTCTGGACCTTTGACAAGCCATAACATGTCCTTCATTGACGGTTGAACTTGCCATGCCCTTAGCATGTGACTAGATGGTACAGAATGAGGACTAAAGTGACTTAAAATCCAAGACATTGAAAGTGACAGGGAAATTATAATTTATATCTTTAGTAGAAGCCTGATTTCACAATCACAACATTACAGATTTCTGTGAATGTAGCACAGCCTTTACACCTATTTTCCAACAAGAAACTTTATTATGCGTGTCCAGACAAACATCTGCTTTCACTAGAGTTTGGTAGACATGATCATTTCTCTAAGGCTGTTTGGTGCATGTGAGGGCAGGTCTGTTTAGTGTGTGCTTTGGAACATGGATTCTAGGCAAGACTTATGGCCTTTTAGAAGCATTGTTCATACAATGGGCTCCTCCTTTACTCTCTTACTCTCTTATAGGGTGGTACGAAACCCTTCTCTGAGGTCATCAAAGCCAACATCGGTGATGCACATGCCATGGGACAGCAACCAATCACCTTCCTTAGACAGGTAACCACAAATGCACACATTTTCATCTCTAATGAAGTTGTTTTGGCATTAAATTAAGCAAACTATTAAAACCTGCATATTTCATTCCCCTGAACTGTTGACTGTACCAACATGTAGCAAAACATTAAAGCATTAACATCAATGCTTCTAAAAGTACATCTGCCCCTACAACTACACGACTCATCAGTATTGGTATCTTAAGCCTGGAACACACCAAGCCGATGCCGACGAACTAGCGCCGATGAAAGCCGACTGTGTTGTTGCCTCTCGTCGGGGTAAAAAGCTGCACTTGAACACACCGAGAGAACTACTGCCGACTGTCAGCTAGAACGCGCGTTCTGCGCCTGCGTGTAAATGAGACAACTGTCTATTTCTGCAGATATATTCTCTATATTCGTCATTCAAAAAGGGAAAACCGACGCTGTCGGCTGCAGATACACAAACCATAAACAAAGCTTCTTTGACTTCTTTGCTCGCTGTTTTGCTATTATTCTTGTGCATTGACTCTTTCACTAAGCTGAACAGCCAATCAGAGTTCCCTCTTTGACCGACGGCCCGACGCCGATTCAACATGTCGAATCGGCCGAAACAAAGCCGACGAGGACCAATTTCAGCCGACGGCATGGAACCGTGCGGAACACACCGAGGAAACTCAGTCGGCCGACGCACAAAAACTGCCCGACGGCCGACCGTCGGCTTGGTGTGTTCCAGACTTTAGGGCCCTATCTTGCACCCAGCGCAATTGACATCTCCCTACAACTACACGACTCTTCAGTATTGGTATCTTAGGGTGCTTTCACACTTTGTTTGATTGCCTGGTCCGAATGCGAGTTCGATTGCTCCCCTCTCCCCCTGCCCCCACTTGACTGTATTCACATTATATTATTTGGGTCTGAACCGTGGTGCGTTTGCATCAATGCAGCAGCCGTTACCCCTGTTGCTTGGTAAGGACTACACAGGAGAAGCCGGCAAAATACATAGCATTGCTCGCCTCACTTTTATGTTTTGTTTTCAAAGCGTCAACACATAACAGCACTTGCGTCTTTCTGCATCGAGTGTACTGCAAACTTTCTAAAGAATGCGGGAGTCCATTTCTGCTGAAGGCGAGTAGAAATTAGATCTACATTCTCTCTGCTTGCAGTGAGTCAGTCACACTTGTCAGGAAAGTGAGTGAGAACATGCACACAAACACAGTTTTATCGAAAACCTACATCATCAATAGCGGTTCACTTCTGCAATTTAGTACGATTGCGTTCAAATCAGCAGCGAACCGTACTGGAGTTCACATGAACCATACCCCAGACCAAGCTTTTTAGGCGGACTCTGGTACGGTTCGCGATTCAGAAGAAAAACTTTCACGTAATTCTGAACTGAACTCTGACGTCAATCGAACCCGGGTGTGCAACTCCAGAAGTGCTATTGCGAAAGCAGTAGAAACCAGATTAATCTTAGACCTTTGTAGCATGAACATGCTTATTCAGGTTAATAAGGAGTCTGATTCCAGTGGCTTGATAGAAAAGCAGCTTTTGTTGACCACTCACAGTTTTGGAAGTACATTCCAGTGAAAGATAGTCTCTTATTATTGGCCTAGTTTAGTCAGAGTTATTCTAGCCTTTCATTATGAGCTGAACAAAAGCTTCTGTGATGGCCTGGAACTGCAGCTTGAACCAACAGGACACAGCTTTTCATGCTAGCATGATAGTCATATATGTTGCGTCCCAATTCACCCCCTTATACTATGCTCTAAAAGTATGTACTGTTTTTGTGAAGAATAAGTACATACTTTTTAAATGTGTGAAGCAGAATTGTAGGCAAGCTTTGAAACATATTAGTTCTGTGTATCCTGTCACCATTTAAACTGCCCTGTCAATCATATTGTGTCAGTTAAAATCCTCCAAATTCAATTGGATTTAATTTCCTATCATATCAGAGAGAAGTGTGGCATGTTGATCTGCCAGTTGTGTCTTTCATGCAGAGAATTCTCCTCCTGTCTTTGCATAATGATTAATGACCAAATGTATTTATTTTGATAAAAGTTCACAATGCTGTTGCAGATGAAATATAATGTGGATAACATTGAATAAATATATTTTCGCCAGGTTAGATACTGATTATTATTCACTTAAACCACTTAACCGTCGGACTCGCACATCTGCCATGTTTTTAGTTTTTTTAACACTTTTTATTTGTGTTTGTAGTTCTAATTGAATCCTCGTCTAACGCACAATGGGTTGTGGGCAATATTAGCCGTTAGTGTGTGCATGGATCTGATTCTAACCGGGAAAAGTAGACCATCCGGGTATCTTTGGAATACTCACTTCAACATACTAAGATTTGGTTCTGAGAGTATTGCCGTGTCCCAATTCGCATACTATTCGTCCTAAATAGTATTCAAAATTAGAATTAGTACGTCCCAAATCTTAGTATGTTGAAGTGAGTATTCCAAAGATACCCGGATGGTCTACTTTTCTCGTGGTCATATGATTTTCAAGCTAATGTCAACATTGAAGAAAAGGGAGCCAAAGGGAAGCTGCCTCTGACCTGCATGGGTTATTTTGGCTTGGAAACTTGGGAGGGACTGGACTCCACCAGCCATCTGGCCTGGACTCTGTTATGCTTGGGAACAAAGTTCCTGATCCCCATTCAGTGTGCATACAAAGTCACACAAACACATTTTCCTATATACCAATTGAATGTGAATAAATAATGAATAATCATTGAAACAAAATGCTCTCCTTGCAACACAATACGTATTGAGATATTGCCAGAATCAGAACTGAAATCACATGCAATCAACTGCAATCAATTGTTTTCAATATTTCATTATCATTGATTGCAAGCATCTCTTCTCCATTTAGCGTCAGTGGCCACCACAACTTTGAGTGCAACGCAGTGTATGGAAATTCTGAGAATTAATTCTTGAGGGAGTGTCCCACAACAGGACAAAGCAATATTGATACGATCCACCTTTACGTTAAAGATGTTTAAAGCTTTTGGAACTCATTAATTCATTATGTTTTAATAATATACTAAAATGTTATGCCTACTGTAGTTAATAATATATATTATATACCATTTTGTTAAACTATAATTTCTTGTGATCGACAGTTAGAAATATTGCAGAAAAATCTGAATCTCTCGTAGCATTGAGAGTTTAGTGGAAATACGTTGGCTGTACTTCGTCTGTATTTGCTCTTACACCTGAACACAATACATTTTAAAGTGGCAATATAACATCATGCAACTTACTGACCACAGACAAATAACAGAATGTTTTATCTGCATTTGTTCATTTGTGCAGGTGGTGGCTCTCTGCACGTTCCCTGAGCTGATGGACAGCCCCAGTTTCCCCGAGGATGCGAAATGTAGAGCACGGCGTATCCTGCAGGGCTGCGGGGGATACAGTCTCGGTGTGTGCATTTGTTCCTTTGAGGACGTGTTGTTGAAACTGGTTAAGACCTTGCCATTGAATCAAATAGTTAAGATCAAGTTGAAACATAGAACTGTTTACAACATTGCTCTGTAGTGATTGGAAGGCATCCATGATGCTTTGTTATTGCAGATCATGCAGTTCTCACAAAGCTGGCGAACAATAGACCTGTTTATTGCAACACTGTTCTATTGAGTGTTGTTTTGCAGTAGTAAGTGCTACTGTGCTAACGCATGCGTTTCTGTCGCAGGGTCATATAGTGCAAGCCAGGGTATAGAGTACATCCGCAAAGACATTGCCACATTCATAGAGCAAAGAGATGGAGTTCCTTCAAACTGGGAAAACATTTACCTCACCACTGGAGCTAGTGATGGCATTATGGTAATTAATTGTATATTTACAATCAATCAGAGACTTGACCTAGAGTGCTTACTTGGCATGCGTTACCAACAAACCCAAACTTTGTTTTTAAGACTATTCTGCGGCTGCTGGTGTCTGGGAAAGACTCTTCTCGGACAGGTGTGATGATTCCCATTCCTCAGTACCCACTTTACTCCGCTGCAATCTCAGAGATGGATGCAGTACAGGTCAACTACTACTTGGATGAGGACAACTGCTGGGCCCTGGACATAAATGAACTTTACAGAGCCTATCAGGCTGCCAAACAGCACTGCCAACCCCGAGTCATTTGCATCATAAACCCTGGCAATCCTACTGGTAGGTAAATTGTAAAGCTATTCTTGTGTGCTAGGAAACAATGCCCTTGTGGCTGTTTGGATCCAATTGCATGTGCACTGGAAAGAAGAGCATGTGTTTTTTTTCCAGTCATGATCCCTTGTGATTGGGGATGATGCTGATGAGATCTGATATTACATACATATGATGCAATATTTTAAGTCTTCTGAAGCTGATCACTTTGTGTAAGGAACAGAAACTGAAACTCGCATGTGGAATATAGAATATGTTCTCTAGAATATATAATATTCTGTGTGGAATTCAAATGGGTTGGATACGTGATTGTGATTTGCTCCAGCTTGGGCTATTCTTGTCTCTGTCTGGAGTGATGTGTACTGTGGTATTTCAAGTCATGCTGATGCAACACCAGGTGTTTCGCTTTTATGGAAAGCATATTTACACAACCTATTCCCTATACCCTACCTGTGCCATTCACTGTATAGGAAATAGTAAATGAGTGACCAATTTACTGATTTCACACACAGCTTTAGCACCTCTTTAGACACTTCAGGTTCAGAGCATGTGATTAGACAAAATCTGATGAGACTGTAATAAAATGTGCCACTTCAAGATGCATCATGCTAGGTTTGATGTTGATGCAAATGATATTTTAGGGGAACTATCTCTTTAAATTCTGTCATGATCCCCCTTGCTTTATCTTGCTTTACCCTTTACAGGTCAGGTCCAGAGTAAAAAATGCATTGAAGAAGTCTTGCACTTTGCTTATGAGGAGAATCTTTTTGTTATGTCAGACGAGGTAAGCTGTGCTCTTTTGCTTTCACCATTTGAATTGGAAAGTCTTTTAGTTGAGCTAGAAGTACAAGTTTAAACGTTTAAAAGTTTGGGATCAGTAAGATTTTTTTTTTTTTTTAAAGAAATTAACTTTAATTCAGCAAGAAAAATTACAGTTAAAATATTTTATAATGTTACCAAAAATATATATTTTAAATAAATGCCAGTGTTTTACCAAAATAATTTTGAAGTGACATCCGATATTGTGCGCACTATTCTGTGTTATACTTAAAGCTGCAGTAGGGAGTTTTGAGAAAACGTTGACTTAGCCTGAAAATTTGAACAAGCACAACTTACGGGTCCCACCCCCTTGCTCTCTGCTGCGCTACAGCCCTCCCTCCACAGCTCGTCCTCCACAGCGGAGCCTGTCGTGAACGCGCAGGCTAGTAAACAGGGCCACCCATAACAGCGGATAAAAAGTTATATGGCACATTCACTAATAGGGACTAAACGTCAACAATATGCTTTACATTGACTATGGCCTGCCCATACTTTGACTACAAACTTGGTCCTCAAATCATTATGTATTTTGCAATACATGTAACTTTATAACGTTGCACTCTTTCTATAAGTTATAAATAGCTAGTAAGATAACGTTAATATAACGATATATAATGCTAGATAAGGTGTGCTAGTACATTATTTCAGCAACATGACAAGCCAGTGAATTAGCAGGTTTCAATTGTTGCTTAGCAGAGTGCGTGACATTTTATCTACATGTTATGCGGCTAGAGTTTTGACACCGAGTCAATGGGCTCTGTGTAATTCTTTCTTTTTCGCTTGTTTATCGTCATCGGTCTTTTTCCCTTTACCTCTTTGTTTCATGAGCAGGTGTCACTCGAGAATTGGCAGTTTAGGTTGTTTCTCTGTCATAAGCACAGCTGCAGCTCGCCGGCAATCTTGAGTTTGAACGACGGCTCGCGCTCCGGCGCTCGCGCTGTGCAAGAGAGGGGTGTGATCAGCGCGTACACGAGCGTGATTGACACTGCTAAGACATTCCTCCTGGCTCTGATTGGTTGTTTCTGACCGGGAGCGTGTATTTCTGCAAATGGCAATAGGACCACTAGGAGGAGCCAGAGGAGCTTGATTTTTTTCACAGATTATCTGTCTCATATTCTACTGTCAGGACATAATGACAGTTTTAACAAATATGTAAAAAATATATTTTACAAAAGCTACCTACAGCAGCTTTAAGCCCCACTAAATGCATAAAACATTGTAAAGCACCATAAGGTTTTTGTGCACAATATAACAAGGTTTCTGAAGCCATTCAATAGCTTAATGTGAGGTACTAATTGAATATTTAAGTCGTTAAGTTAAATTTAATGGAAATGTATCTCTCCTCAGTCATTCTCCATTCAGCATTCAAACAGCGCGTTGCGTTCGGGTACGACAGTCAACACGATGAAACTCACTCCAAGATCAATGTTCCTGTTTTTATACTTTATTTGTCGAAAAAGGTCTATGATTTTTCATAAAAGTACTTTATCTTGCAGGGCCCGTATTCATAAAGATTCTAAGAATCCTCTCAGAAAACTCTTAATTTAGCTTAAAAACTTTTACGTAGGAGTCTTAGCTTAAGAGCTATTCGGGACCGATCTGAGAGCAACTCTGAGTAAGGAAAAGACAAAAACTTTCATCTTAGTGAGGAGGCGGGGCTGACCCCGTTGCTATGTATGACACAATCTTTTGAAGACTGTGATTGGTTGGTTGTCCAAGAAGGAAAAAAATAGTGATTTTAAGTATAGGGTCTATTCTAAGCCTTCACTTTGAAATTACATGCGTAGTTTTTTCTATTTGACCGTTCTCTCTCACACACACACACACACACACACACATTATATATGTGTATATAAATCCTTTTTTTTATTTACCATGCTGTTAATTTCCTATAAGGTATTTGAATGATAAAAATTGTTCCACTCTTTCCAATTACACTGATTGCTGGCATGTCTATTTAAGTGTTTGTTTTAATGTAACAAACATGGAATCAAAACCAAGAAGGACGAGAAAGCCCGACTGGACAGAGGAACAGTGTTTACTGTTAGCCTAGTTAGTGGATGAACACAAGGCCATCCTTAAAGGAACATTCGGGCCGAGTGTCGATCTATAACGTCTTATTAACTCACTGTCATCCATTGTCTGCAACACATTTCTTCTCCCTCTTCGTCTTTCTGCCATTTCTCCTCTGCTAAAGAAACTCTTAAGCCTCTTAAAAGTCCTCGTCCGTACTCCTAACACTTTTGACCTTAAGACCTCTTTTAAGAGTTAAGATGCTTTCTGAATTACTTTTTTCTTTACTAGGATTTTTTCTTTAATTTTAAGAGTAAACGCCCACATTTCTAAGAATTTTCTTAGAATTTTGTCACTAGGAGCGACTCTTTGCATTAAGATTCTTTATGAATACGGGCCCTGGAATTTATTTCTATTTCTAAATCCTCAGTCTTTCTCCCGGGTGTCTGTTAGATCACACTGGAGTAGAGAGCACTATGAATTGTTCTTCACGCGCACAGTAAATGAAATTTACAACTGTTAAAAGAAAAGGCTCAATAAACTGTTGCATAGATATGATACACTAAGCATCAATATATCTTCCCCTTGTTTTCTGCATTTTTCAATGTGAAGCGCCGCACGCAATGACTCCATGTTGCTTCAAGTGCATCATTCTGCGCATGGGATGCGCATATTAGGCCTATAATACTTTTGGGTAGGTTCAATGGGAATCACCCATGGGCGATGCCCCCTCCCTGTGGAAATAGGCCTGCCACCACAGCTGGAAAAAATCCTAGAGGAAACACTGAATGCTTTTCTTTTTAACCTTCTATTCATCAAAGAATCTTGAAAAATCTATCATGGTTTACACAAAAATGTAAAAATAATAAGAAAAGTTTCTTGAGCAGCAAATCAGCATATTAAGGCCTGTACACACTGGGACGAATATCGGCTCGCGTTGTTCGTCAGCGTTTTTCAACGCGTTTTTTGTGTTCACACCCAAGCGATTTTCACTGACGATGAGCCGAGTGAACACGCAAATTCATTCCCTGACATTAGATGGCGCTTAATGTAAAACAGAAATACCCCGGTCCACAAAGTGGCGCTGCGCAACTACGCTTCTGACACTCGCTTGTCACTCAGAAGAAGAGAGCAAGTTTGTCGCGTTTGTCATATAGTTCTTTATTGTCGTTGGTGTCTCTTTATAAAGACACCAACAAGACCAGCAGCTCTACATTCATCTAGCCTTGCATCTTCCTCGTCTTATTTCTTCCCGGCAGAGTGTAGACGCTGTATATCTTCTTCGCCATTACATATGTGTGCTCGGCAAGACCGTTTTGTGTTTGAGCGCCCCCAAGTTGTGTTTTACTGTAACTTCAGAAGCTCCAGACACGTGAGCAAAAGCGCCAATCTCATTGGTCGGATAGTTTTTGGCGCGGCGCGTCAAACCAAAAAAACGAACCTGAGGCGTTTTTTAAAAAAATGACGCTTTTACGTGTGGCGTTTTTCGCGTCGGTGTGCACACTCCCATAGGCGCCCTTTGTTTAGTCACGAGGCGATAAACGTCGCCGAATAACGCGCGCGAAATTCGTCCCGGTGTGAACAGGCCTTTAGAATGATTTCTGAAGGATCATGTGATGCTGAAGACTGGGAAAATGTTGCTGAAAATTCAGCTTCACCATCACTGGAATAAAAACAATTTTTAAATGTATTAAAATAAAAAGTAGTCATTTATATTTCACAATATTACTGTTTTTACTGTGTTTTCGCTCAAATAAATACTATCTTGATGAGTATAAGAGACTTCTTTCAGAAAAAAAATAAAATCTTACAGACTGCAAAAGTTTGAACATTAGTTGATATTTAAGTGTGAAACAATTTGAAAGTATGTGTGCCTCAGTTATCTAAATCCTGTTTTAACATGTTTGACTTGCCCTTGACAATTGTGTTCTCAGTGTTGGTTTGTGCTGTTGCTGCAGGTGTATCAGGACAATGTGTACGCTCCTGACTGTCAGTTCCACTCCTTCAAGAAGGTGTTATATGAGATGGGTCCTGAGTACTTCAACAACGTGGAGCTTGCCTCCTTCCATTCCACTTCCAAAGGCTACACGGGAGAGTGAGTGTCCCTATCCTTGTACATTCACAGGGGTCAGCATGTGCCTTAATTTGAGATGGCCTCCTTAATATCGGCTTTCACTGACCCTTCACACACTTTCACATGACATAACCGCAGTATCCTGAAAAATATTTAGACATCATCTGGCTTTGTAATTTGCCATTTTAAATAGATGCGATGTGGAAAGGTCTACCACCCTCAGTGACAAGTTATTGGTATTTGTAAGGACAGCTTGGACTGGTAGAGTTTTAAAGGCAGTCTAGTGGCTTGGCCTGAGGCATTGTTGCATTAAATGTAATCTTTGTTAAAACTCGTTCCTCTAACTGAGACTAGTTGTTCAAAACCAAGTTAAAAGTTCTTCATGCCGAATGTTGGCTGACTAGAATTAAAGATGCTGTATGTAAGTTTTTGACTACTAAAGCATAAAAATACCATATTATTTTTGGAAATATTTTGGAAACATGCTGAGTTCACATACTCGTTTCTTTGAAAAACAATGTTACAGCCAGTTGAACTGTGCGTTCTGTGTCGGAATGTCTGTTTTTGTTTTGGTCTGTGTGATCCCGCCCACTGACAATTTACCCAATAGTATTTCGACACCCTGGTTCGCCAGTTGCCAGAAAACACAGCGTATTGCAGCCATGGAAGCCAGCAAACAAACTAGGTCAGAGATCGCAGATTCTACCTGACCTAAAAAGCCTCGGCACCCTTCTAAAAATCTCTATAAACCGGAGCATATTAAAACGTGATACAAACTCATCATAAATCAATAAATCAACTCATCAACTTAAAGTGTGTTACTCTCCTCTCCTTCCATTGTCAATTGCGCTCGTTCCTGTTGCGTGTCCTCAATCTGGCAACCCGTGTGAGCGTCGAGTCTGAGCAGGAGGGTGCAGGGGAAATAACTCTAATGTTTTGAATTTGGACTGCAGTACCCATTTCAATCCGCTAGCTGTCAATCTTACATACTGCACCTTTAAATGACTTTTCCTTTGTTGACATGACTACAAATATTATGTTTTGGCTATTAAATGTGGCAGCCTTGTCCGTCAATTCAGAGAACTCATGTGACCATGTCCATGTCCTTCCACAGGTGTGGCTTCAGGGGTGGATATATGGAGGTGATCAACATGGATCCTGAGGTCAAGGTCCAGCTGGTAAAGCTATTATCAGTTCGACTGTGCCCCCCCCTGGCTGGCCAGGCTGCAATGGATGTCATTGTCAACCCTCCACAACCAGACGAGCCCTCGTTCAAACAGTTCCACCAGGTCAGTCGTGTAGTCTAGTGTCTGGTGAAGTAAAGCACATTGTGTGCTGACACTGACAGTAACTTCATTGTTATGTTGTTTTAAGTATGCAAACATGTAAATGTTATGCATCAGTAACCTGTTATGACATGAACAGTCCTAAAGAAATTCTAGGTTTGGTTTTGACTGGGTGTGATGGTGTGTGTCTGATCTCTTATCAGGAGAAATCATCAGTGCTGGGTGCTTTAGCAGAAAAAGCTAAGCTAACTGAACAGATCCTGAATGCTGTTCCAGGAATCAAGTGTAATCCCGTCCAGGGGGCCATGTACGCCTTTCCTCGCATCTTTATCCCTCCTAAGGCAGTGGAGGAAGCCAAGGCAAGTGCTCTTACTTTAGCAGAACTTGAGCTCTCTGGTGGAGTATTATTGTTGCTTTTAGAACCGTGATTCTAGGTGTCTGCTAGTTTCCATGGCACTCCACATTGTTCAAACTCTTAAAACTTCTTTCATCACCTCTGGAATGGTGATCCGTGTGTTATCTGATTAGGAAGGGTGCAATATAGTATAGTATTACTAGTTCAGCATAGTCTGCCCAGTAATCTTCCTCGAATGGTTAACTAAATCCAACTGTATAAATATTATTCTGTGTAAGAGCTATGTTTCATGCAGAGCGGTAGTTTGCTGCAGAAGAAAACCTTTTGTTTCTGAATCATGCTTGATTTTTTTTTTTACTTGAGAAGCTACTCTTCTACTCGGATGAAACCTGTGTTCTGCAACTCGAAAACCTGAAGAAATGAAAGGTCTGAGCTGTCACTGAGGGAGTGTATGTGTAAAATCTGACTTGTTTGGTTCGGCAGGCTCTAGGAATGCAGCCTGACATGCTGTATTGCCTGAGGTTGCTGGAGGAGAAGGGGATCTGTGTTGTTCCTGGTAGTGGCTTTGGACAGAAAGATGGAACATATCATTTCAGGTAAACTTGCTCTTGTTATTCAAACAGATTCAAACATTTTATCTGATATTAGGTGATTTCTTGACATGACCCCCTGGAAGCACACCATTTGTAATGTGTTATTTTTGTCATGGGCACTCAGTGCATCTGTTTGTTTGTTTTGTTTATTTTCACCTGTCATGTGAGTATTCAGTCTTGCTCCTGGCACCACAGGCACACGCACAGTCCCAAACCCTACACAAGCAACTATTCCAGTTCTTTCTTGCAAAAAAATAACAAACATTTTTTTTTAATTTGCAGCTATGCCAGTCCATGTATCGGGTATCACTACGATTTGAATGTAAATCAGTCACCATTCAGATTTTACACTAACACATGTCATGTTTTGTTGTTACTTCAACTTTGGTTTTTAAACCTTAGGATAAAAACATCGCTATCGCATCGCTAACTATTTCCCCCTAATACTCAAAATAACGTGTCATGTGATATTGTTTTCTGTGTATAGTTACTGGCACCTGTGTTATTAATAATTTATAAGCCAGCAACTCTTTTACTTGTTTGTACTTTATGTTTGCCTTTTGTTTCAGGATGACAATCTTGCCATCCACAGAGAAGCTAAAGGTACTTCTTGGCAAAGTGCAAGATTTCCACATCAGTTTCCTGAAAGAGTATTCTGCTCTGGAGTAGCTACAGAGAGGAGATGGGACCTGATTTGGAAAACATAAGCTGGTGTGCTCCAGCACTACTTAACACACTAACTACACATTTAAACTGTAAAGGTAGTGTTAAGTATCTTGTAAATTTTGTTTTTATTTTCAATTGAAACATGATTTTTTGAAGTTTCAAGAAATACAGCCTTGTTTACTAAGACTAATAATTTTGTCAGACATGTAACACTATGTTTGAATGTTTAATTTTCACAGCCCATTAGAGAAAATAGGATTCAGCAAGATTATCAATAATTTTCCCTTTTAAATTCGCTTTAAATTGAACAATTCTGCAGCAGGGTGTTGGGTTAATAGACACCCTCTATCATACATGAGATTCAGTTACAAACATTATTTATTAACAACTTTCCAAACCTGGAACTGAAGTATGAGTTTTGACAAGATTGAGATGCACTCAGTGGAAATTCTTTTGTAGCACCTTATATGAAATACTCAAAACTATTTCCCCTGATGCAAATTTAGCCATTTCAGTTTGGTAAGGGGGTGGGTTGTGATGTGAATAACACTGAAGGTACTAGGTACATTTATTCATGTCATTTTTCTGGAAAGTTTACAAGGAGGGACTCTTTTGATGTTTCTGTTGTCCTCGTCTTTAGTTGCACTCATTGCCATGCAATGTACATAAACATTTTATTTGATCAAATTACAAGCTTGGTCACAAGTTAAGCTTCTGTGGAAGATTGTGACTAGGGTGAAAACATGGAGCATATCTGGCTTGTAATCGTTTACTGATGTATTTTATTCCCTCTGCTTTTGCGTTGCAAGTTATTTTAAACTATTAAACAAAATCCTGTACCATGATGCTGATCATCAACTTGCTCTGTCAACTCAGGCTCAGATCATGAGTTCATGAATAACTACATAGCATGTGCAAATTGTGAGATCAGTAGCGTACAGCCAATCACATGCTTTGAAACAGTGAGACTAAGATTCATTTCTCATGAGAGTCAGTGTTCACTTCTATCTTCTGCTGAAGATTAAGAGATTACGAAACACGAGGAATTCGACCATTTACATGCTGCATTAAACCTAGAGTTGACACAAACTGATCTAAAACTTCACGAGTGAACGGCCACAGTTCATTTTAGATCGTCTGTTGTATTACCTAAATGTCAGCCATTAGGAGATATTAGTGCCAAAGTTGACTTATCAGTTGAAATTCTCCCTTTCTGACATCTCATCTTTGATATCAAAACCATTAATGGTGAATGAATATTGTTAATGCACTCTTGCATTTCTTTGAACTTATCATTTCATATGAGGTGCCTTTACTCATGCCTGTGAACTTTTAATGAAATGAGTTTTCCTACATGCATTAATAGCTTGTAATATTGAATTTTTTAAAAAGCTTGTTTGTTTCTTATGTATTTTTTGTTTACAGATTTTTGGAAATTGGCCCAACCTTAACATTGTATATAGTATTTTCAATTGAATATTAAAGTTATGGAGACTGTTAAGCACTTAAGTCTCTTTGTCTCATTTAGCAGTGCTTTCAGTTGTCGGGCCTGTCAGAATGCAAGAACACACGAATAAAATAAAAAAGTGCACCAGGTCGGAGAAATGGGTGTGTCGAAAGGTTTCTCATTGGTGAAAGGAGCTTCTCCTTGACAAATGAATAAATGTTTTATTGGATAAAATTGTTTGCTAAATTGCTTAATGTTAACCTTTTGCTTATGATGAACCATATCTATTTGTCCTTATCAGGCAAAACACTGATGTTTCGGTCACACTTTATATTAGGGTCCAATTCTCACTATTAACTATTTTCCTCAATAAACTTCTAATTACTGCTTATTAATAGTTAGTAAGGTAGTTGTTAAGTTTAGGTATTGGGTAGGATTAGGGATGTAGAATCAGGTCATGCAGAATAAAGCATTAATATGTGCTTTATAAGTAGAGCCAACAGCCAATATCCTAGTAATATGTTAATATACAACTAGTTAATAGTGAGAATTGGACTCTAAACTAAAGCTTTACCGATGTTTTTAGTTTACATGCACCTTTAGTGAAAATAGCCTACAGAAAAACATACAATTGTAAATCACAGTTGTATTACAAGTAACACAGTAGAAATGACTGCTTCTATAACATTTTTGCTATTGTGTGCAATCATAGGAAGACACAAAACATTTTTAAGAGACTTTTGTATCCTTCATATACTAATTTTAATATTTTTGAGTATTTGATTATGTATATTATTGCGTGAATCATTATCGCATTACAGTTAAAGAAGGGATTTGAGCTGATAGGATTATGACAAAAAGACAAACAGCTATTGTCTAAATTGGATTTATCACTTCCTTTTAATCTGTAGGCCAATAGCTTTTAAGTTTATGGCCCGCCTTTGTGTGGAACAGACAGCTTTTTCGACAAACTGTAAAGGCCTTTCTGCACACCCATTACTGCAGAGACAACACAGACGATGCCATCGCAGTCAACGGTGTAACATTAGGATGCACTGCCCTCTGGTGTTCTTTGCAGCCAATTACGTCATTTTAAATCAGCATGATGTTTGAGACCACAGCAGAGAACCACAGGCAGCACGCGACATTCCTGGGCAATCGAGATCATTTCTGCATGTAGTTCTGGGTCACAGGTGTTTCCTAAACTGCTCTGGTTTCACTGTCAGTTCAGATGTAACCCATGTATGGTTTGTGACAATTGACCTTTCTGGAGTGGTTCTACTTTATTACTTGGCACGTGGACCTGTCAGTAGAGAGCACACGTAGGACAACACATTCCAGATAATAGAGTCAAAAGTGAAGTGCTAATAATATTGGGTTGGTAAACATCATTGTACATTTTTAATCTGTAAAATACATTAAATTGTATTTTATATAGCTTTTAGATTTACATAAATGCTGAATAAACGTGGTTTTAAAGGGGTCATGCAACGTATTTCTTTTTATAATGTTCTCTGAAAGAATGTTACATCAAAAAACCTAATTCAGAAGTAATAAGCTACTTTCTATCCTGTTTTTGACACTGTCGAACACCCCGTTTTCTCCAAGTGGTGCTCACTGCAGTCAAATGACGACCAGCTCCTCCTCTCTGGAGCTCTAAGGGGGTGGAAGGATAGAGTTGTGGGTAGGGTTAGATATTTTAGCTCCACTCATTAGGCCCAAACTACATTCACTCCTCCTCGCTGGAGCTCTAGAGAGGAGGAGCTACAAGTAAGCTCCCTTTGCTCTCGTTTGAAAACTTCTGATGTTGAAAAATATCTCGTTACATAATTGAAACATTTGCCAACAATGTGAAACATTTAATCTTATTAAATATGCTTTATGCGCCTTGGCGATGACTTAAGGCGTTTCGTGTAAACGGAATGAAGAGTAAATCATAATATGAATTGTCACATGTCGTTCTTTCATAGTTCAAAAATGAGCGAAAAACGTAAAACTGCAATGTCTTACTGATGACAAAACAGAATAGCTGGCTTATTGAAGCTTTTATTCAGATAAGGTATTATATAACCACATAGATGCCCAAGCAAAGGAAAGAACAGCAGCTTTCGTATAACAAGGACGGCAATGCAAAGATGTTATTCCACAACTTGGCACTGGAATAATCCTGTTTGCCTCCATTTACTTCAGCATGACATGCAAGAATAAGTGAGCGGGGCTAAAGAGGAAATGAGAAGTAGGCGTTGATCTTCTGCATGAGCTTTCTTTCGTCACACTAGGACGCAATAATGTGACAATCCAAAACCAGTCCTTGGTTTCAGTAAAATCTGTTTTTGGAATAACGAGGAAGTTGAGTTCTTAAACTTAAAGGATATTTTTTTAGTACAATGACCTCTTATATGTCAAAAGATTTGATTTCTCAATTTATGACCCCTTTAATGCTATGCTAACTTTAAAGTCTGTCTCAAAAGTAACAACTGCAAACAATCCCAAGTAATGATTAAAGCACCAAATAAAGCAAAGACTGATTATTTTGAGGAGATATTGAAAGACATTTTATTCAACAACTCAAACTTTTTCACAGAAGATATAAGCCTAAAGGTGCTTTTTCCTCCACTCATTTCATTGTGTACGATGTCTCTCTCTTGACAGACGTTTCAATCAGTGAAGGGACCAAAATGTTCAACATGCACCTGGATAGCTGACAATAGGCAACTGATTTTATTTCAGCCATTTCAAAACATAAAACACACTCAATTGTGACAGCAGCTGATACAAAGCTTAAATGACAATCACTTATTTTATACATTTTATAGTCTCTTGTTCCAATTCTTAAAATATCAAAGAAAGGAAAAAAAAAAAAAAAAATCTACAAATAAAATAAAGTGGTAAAAATAGCGCACAGATACAAACAAACCTAAAAAAAAAAATTGATTGGTGATTAAGTCCCATGGAGGCATTTCTTTTTCTTTCTTTTAGGATCTCTCCTAAAATAACTCCTCTTCCGTTAGGTCACTGCTCTCCAACAAGTCTCAAGTCCAGGGCCAAAACTGCATTTTATGGTTAGATTTAAACTTGTGAATACTATGACAACAACAAAAAATGCAAAGTACACACAGAGTACGTTTCAATTACCCTTTTCTCTCTGAAGTGGGGTTGCCTCTAGAGGGCCGCAGGGAGAGGAGGAGGGGGCAAGAAAGGGTTACTAGATGCGGGATCATCTGTGCGTTTACTACAAGGGAATCAGGTGGTCAGGAATGGCTGTATGAAATTCTCATTTAAGGCAGCCCCGAATCGGATTATAAACACACCTGTTTATTGTGCAACTAGAACATTTTTTTAATCCCCACTGTTGGAGCCGGACAAGATATTTGCTGTGGTCGGGTTTACTGATGGGCACACTGCACGCCAGGCCCATGATGTCCTCCTTCTTCATCCGAGCTGTCGTTGTATGCTTCACGGCGGTGACCACCAGAGGAGCTCTGGCTCATGTCAAACTCCTGCAGGTCCACCTCCTCTGCGTCTCCAGAGATGACTGGCGCTTCGGCCCGTGTAGGCAGCAAGTCCTCTAACTCCTGCAAAAACAGGAGAGAAATATTAGGGGTAAGAAACCACACTAAGAACAGTAGTCAACATTTGAAGTGGATCAAAACCTTTCATCAAAATTATACCCGTTCTTGTCTTAGGACAACTTTGATGACCTTTTTTGATCCACTTCAAATGTTGACTACTGTATAAACATTCACTATTTTCAAATGTTAGGGTTCAGTAAGATTTAAATGTTTTTGAAAGACATCTATTTTTCTTATGCTCACTAAGGCCCCGATCCCACCAAACGCGTTTTTCAGGTTCAAAAACGCGAGGTGCAAAGCACTGCCCCGATCACACAGAACGCTTCTGCTTCACACGAACTGTTAACATTTACATGCGTAGAGAGCGTCTCAAAGTCTATCTCTGCATATGTTGTGAGTTTGGGTTGCTTATAACATTCATCTGGGAACGCAATGTGCGCCAGTATATCAGATTTTTAAGGTAAATAATTTATAAACCTACGCTAACACAGGAGAATACATCAATGTTTCTAAATAAAGAAACGTTTCTCCCAATGGCAGTGATAATCTTAAATCGTACAGTTTTCTAAAGTGATACAATAGAACGGCTGGGATTATAGCGTGTTTTCTTTGAAACAGTGTTTAATTGTATAATATTGCACATTAACATCACAAATACAAAATGTACAAAGTGTTTTTAAGCAGTAATGTGAATGTATCTGTCACCAGTGTCAAAGATAAATTTCCAATAAAGTTCAACTCAACTCAATCTGTATTATAATATTATTATGTGAACTGTTGTTCATCGAGCGAGGGTTTAAAACTTATTTTGAAATTGCGGAGTTTGCATGTTTTCATATCCACATTCTTTTTCAAGTTACAGTGGCTGTAGCATTGTTATTGTAAAGTGGCCAAATTAAAAAAATTAAGTGAACATTTGAATAAAAATGCCTTCAGGGCTTGAAGGTTTAATATTGGCAAAATTACATTTAAGAATTGTTTTTTCTGGGTAACACACAAAAGTAACGACTCGTAACTCCAAAACTATAGCAAGGAGAATCAAAAGGTAGGTATCGCTTGATAGAAAACTTTACATGTTTAGAAGAATTCATTACATTTGGACATTCTCATGCTGAGAAATATATGTGCTAAAGGGAAATTTCTACATATCTTTATCATTTGACATGCAATAACTCAGGAAGTGTGTATGGTAGGAGAAAAAAATATTGAGCTGCATCGGGATCAAATTGTGATAGTATAAAGTAATCAAAAGTTACAGCAACTCCATGAGGAATATCTTTAGATCCAAGTGAAAGATTATGGTAAGCTTGGGCTCTTTTTAATCGGGAGAATCTGCTGCAAATAATGCTTTTTCCTTGATCTGAGCATGTTTTTATGAAGTTACAAGCAAAAACGCGACAAATGTTGCATCTGTATATTATTTACATGGGTAAAAAAAAAAAAAAAAATCTAATTTAGTCAAAGCCCAAAACAACCATGTTGTACTTGTATTCTACTCCGCGAGACCTTTCAAATTACATATACATGACTATCTGAGTGAGCTGTAAGATGTTTGACATAACAGTACATAAAAATGTTCCTAATTTAATGAATTTTTTTTTTTACTAACTAAAAAAGCTAAAGCTTACAGACTAAGCTTCGAAATAACACCTATTTTCCATTGATCAAGGCAGTAGTTTTGAAAAATAGGATAAGTTTTTCCATGTCAGTACACTCCTTTTTAGAGGGACTACTCAGCACTCCTTAAGAGTTGATCAAATTGGTTAGATGCATTAAAAAGCTCCGTTTCTGAATTTCTTTGTGTTATTCCATTCAGTGGTTGCTTAATTTGATTATGAATGTTTTTCACGGGGTTGGCTTAAGGGGTTAAACAACAATTTAATCTGCTGTTGTTATAATACATAATGCACACAAGTTGATTGTTTATATTATGTATTTTAACAATATTTGGTTCAAATAAAGTATCAAAAGCAAGGAATCATACATGGTTTTATAGAACAATACAATTTCTTCATTGTTATGCATGTATTAAGACATTTTAAAGGCTATTGTTAAATTGGGTCCATTTTTATTACAACAAAAAACATCTGGTTACTCGATTAATCGTCAAAATAAACGTCAGTTTCAGCCTCATTTTATTTGAATAAAAATAGTTTAAAAAGTGAAAAATGACAATTTAAAATAATATTTTTTAACGTTTTAAAATATAATTTATTTCTGTCATGTGCAAAGCTGAATTTTCAGCATCATTCCTCCAGTCTCGATGCTTCAGAAATCAATTCAATATGATGATTTGCTGCTCAAAAAACATTTCTTATCAATGTTGAAAGCATTTGTGCAGCTTAATTTTTTCAATTTATTTCATCCTTGCTTAATTTCTTTCCAAAAATAAATAAATACCCACTTTTGAACAGTAAAAATGTCTTGTAAAATGGTCTTACCGTCAGCTTCTCTGGGCTTAACCAATTGTTGTCTGGGAACTGAACGTCAAACTTGATGAACAGGTCACCCTTCTCGAAGGGGTTACGGTACTGTGGCATACCCTCTCCTCTAACAACTCTGACTGAACCTGCAAAAGGACAATAACGTTTTCAGACAACATAACAAATCACTTAAAGAGCTACAAAACTCATTTCAAGAGGACTCACCTGGCTCAATGACTTTGCCAGCTGGGTATTTCACCACAATCTGCCTAGCATCTAAGTGTTTCAATGTGAAATGGAACCCACAAAGTGCTTCAACAAGGCCGATCTTATGGGTCATGTGCAAGTCGTTGCCCTCTCTTCTGTACGTCTGTTGAAAGAGGTTTAAAAGATTTAGCTATCTGATGCTAATTGATGCTTTAGTGATATCCCATATTAGTCAAAATCAGACATATCTCTTCACACCAACAGACCCTGTAAACACTCGAGGCATGTGAGGGAGGATAAAAAGCTGTAAAGCAGCATGTTCATGACACACTGTCACTGCAATCTGCTTGACAATCTGTCATATACACTTGGAGATGCAAAAGAGGGAAAAACTCCAACGTAGTAATAAGTAATTGAGTCACCAGCCACCACTTTTTTGTCGTTTTTGACAGGGGAAAAAGGTCAAGTAGTGCACCTCTTTCTGCCAATCTACCCACCGGTGACTGATTGCTCGCACCAACCGTTACCCTCTACACTGCACAAAACCTTTCTGCACTTCCTGTCTTTGACGAGACAAAAAAAAAAACAGCTCATACCGCAGGAACAGAATAATGGAAAATTTGGAGTTTGAAACCGATTTTTTTAAACTGCGGTATACCTTGAAACCAGTAACCAGCCCAAGCCTAAATCTGGGTGTTATTTGATAGCAGTGATTCATTTGAAAGCCACATTTCTAGTATTTGTAAAACGGCATTTCTCCATCTTGCAAAAAAGTTAGCAAATGCAGAAAAGTTAGTTCATGCGTTCATGATGACCTCAAGGCTAGATTATTGTAATGCTCTGTGTGGTTGCCCTGCACGCTTAATAAACAAACTCCAGCTATTCCAAAAGGCAGCAGCTGGTTCTTACAGGAAGTATGACTATATTAGCCCGTTTCTGTCAACACTGCATTGGCTCCCTATTAAATATTTCATACATTTTAAAATCTTGCCGATTACTTATAAAGCCCTAAATAGTTTAGCTCCTCTGTCTTAGAGCTCGCTCAAGTACTAAGTCCTTCACGTCTTTTGCGATCTCAAAATTCTGGCCAGTTAAGAATACCTAGAATATCAAAATCAACTGCAGATGGAAGATCCTTTTCCTATTTAGCACCCAAAAAAATCTTAGTGCGCGTCTGTCTCCCGAACAACGCTTTTAAGTTTAAATCTAGATTAAAAACATCTCTTTAACCCTTGCATACACAACACATTATTACATTTCTTAACTCAAATCTATTAAAGGATGCTTAGGCAGCATTACACAGGTCAACCGGAACACTTCCCACAACATCCGATGTCCTGGTTACATCGTAAGAAGAAAAGCATCTATGCTAATATTAGTCTGTCCGTCTCATCCTTATCCCCTGGTTACCATAGTCAGCTGGGTCCAGGCCGTATCCAGATCAGATAGTGGACCTGCACCTAGACGCGACCACAAGACGGCCCTGAATGTCAGCAGAGACCATGGTAACTAGACCAAGACAATATCCTGTGAAGAAAGACCTTGTTGACATGACAGACATCGGTACAGATCCTCAGCAAAGACCACAAGAACCAGAGAAGTCTTCTGCACAGACCCTGAAAGCCAACTTCGTCCCCATACTGATGAATCTGATCTTCAAGCAGAAGGAACTGGATGAAATATTTTGAATGATACCAATCACAATCTGTTTTTTGACTTGTGATATAGCCTGTAATTAAACCACACAATGTTCATTCGTTGGCCAGAGGAGATCCTGCCCACAAATTGATCCTGGTTTCTACCAAGGTTTTTATTTCTCCATTTTGTCACCTGATTGAGTTTGGGCTCCTTGCAACTGTCACCTCTGGTTTGCTTAAAACACCTGAAGCGCACACACACAGGCACGCGTTTCAGACAGCGCACAAACACTTAATTGATTCCTCTTTCGCATCTCCTTGTGCTTGAACGGACACATACACACAAAATGATGTAAAAAAAACTCTTCAAGTATTTTTGTAAATACATTTTAGGGCAGCACGATGTATAGAAAAGTTATCATCATCGCGATAATAATATATGCGATATCCATATCGCAGAGAGGTGCTATAAATTACTTTATTTAATTTCAGACATCCCAAGTCTCCCAGAAGTTCCGGGAGTCTCCTGCATATTGATAGCGGCTCCCTGATGCCCGCAAATTAGTTAAAATCTCCCGGAATCTAGAGCGAGCGAACAAGAGCGCGCATGCGAGACAGAACACGTATACTGTGCTCCAACCGTGTCGTGTAGCGCGTGTGCCTCATAAGACAGAACATCCTGGGGTGCGTTTCCCAAAGCCAACTATGGTCACAAGTTCCGTCGTTACCAATAGAGTTCAATGGAAATTGCGATCATAGTTGGCCAACTAAGCTTTTGGGAAACGCACCCTGATTGGCCTGTACGACTGAAATATGGCAATATTTTGGCTTCAATAGAAAAGTGACACAAATGCAGGTAGGCTACTGTGTAAGGGGCCGTTCACATATCGCGTCTAAAAACGCCTGGAAAGTGGAGCCGCACCGCTATCTCCTTTCCACAAGCACTTGCGTCTGTCGTTGCTATGCAACCATGAACTGCGCTGAGGGCTTTCCATGATGACGAATAAGTATCAGCAAATGATTCATTGATTTCTAGCCCTTGTTTTAGCTTTACTTCTAGATATATTTATGGAGATGAGAAATAAAAACCCGCCCTGTACAGCTATGATATTTCGATGTTGTTACGGAAAGGCCAAAGCTGATTGTTGGTTTTGGTCTCATGACCTGCGGTGAGCTTGCGGCATTCTGAAAAGTTGAGATGTTCTCATCTCATTGCGGCATAGGCGGGCATGGAAAAATGTGCTTCCATTTTGAGCATGCTTGCCGCGTTACTTGAAATAACGAATTTGCATGCGCAAAAAATGTGATATGTGAACAGAAGTGACGGTGTCAATAAGTCGTGCGGAAAAATTGTGGCCACGTCGAGAGGAAACTAATCTCCACAGTCATCTCATCTGAAACGCAGCCTCAGGGCTATGAAGACTTCAAAAAGTATAAGCCCACATCTACCAAAGCTGCTAACGAAATGCCATGTAACAATAACAGTCTCAAAGACAACCATTAATCAAAGTTTTGCAAGTGTAACTCCTTCTGCAAAAAAACTGAGATATTCTTCTGAAGATTAGAAGAATATATTTTAGCCTACCTGTTTATTTTAGTCTGATCATTAAATGATTTTTTTTTTAAAAAGCTTAATAAAAATAGCATTTCTCTAGGGAAATTTCATATCGCAAGAAATATCATTATCGCGATACTCAACATCGCATATTTTCCCAGTATCGTGCAGCCCTAATACATTTGGTTATGTCTTAAGTGAACACTAACAGTAGAGAAAGAAATCAGATGTGTATCATTATATTGGATCCGTGCATTAGGCATAAAGTGACAGCAGCCTATAAATACCTGCTGCTGTCCATGTCATTAATGTTAATCAAAACAACTTTAATAAAGATTAATCTACATTTAATTTACACAGTGAATGCTCGTGTCATTTTACATTTAGGCCTAATTACTACATTTCTGAACCTGAATATTACGGTTCATTAATGAGCACTGTCCCTATCAAATAAAAACAATAGTTTATGAACTTTAAGAAAGAGATCATTGAAATACCTCGTGCTCCTTTTCCTGCAGGACCAGGACAATGTCTCCAGGTTCTAATCCAGGTGCCTGGTCAGCCTCACCGCCGAAGGTGATCTTCTGTCCGTGCTTCATACCTTTATCCACATGCACCTCCAGAATCTTCACTTCTTTAATCACCTTCTTCCCCTCACACTTTTTGCAGCGGTCTTTCTCACTGATCACCTCACCTGGATCATAAAGAAACCATGAGCAAACCTTCCATCCACATGAACATGCTGGCTGAGAATCACAACTCAGTAATACTACTGGTCAGAGTGGATTCAGACTCCAGTCCCTTACCTTCACCATTACAGTCAGTGCACACTGACTGCATCTGTTGCACCATGCCAGGAGCCAGCTGTCTGATCATTATGCGCATACCACGCCCCCTGCAGGCTGTGCACTTCTGGACCGCACCAGACTTCCCACCTTGACTGAGGAGACAAAAACCGCCTCAGTTTCACGAACACATGAATTAAATAAAGGGCACGATTCAAACTCTTTAAAAGCCTGTGTGGTCTGCACAGCTCAGGCTGATTTCAAAATAACTCATAAAACGCAGGTATTTATTGAACTGACTGGGTGTGGTGGGACAAAGAGAAACTGAGACACTCATCATTACAAATCTTTTTCTCCCTAATTGTCGTGAAATAAGTTAAAATCTTACTCACCCATTACAAGCGCTACAAAGAACATTCTTGCTCAGCTGTAATTTGGTTGTTTTTCCATTGTACAAATCTTCAAGTGACACCCTATGGGGGGGAAAAAGGGTGAGAAAGCTCTTCCAGAATCCAGAATATTACAAGAGCAGCCTAAAAACTGAGATTGGAAACCACCCAAAAAAACCTTATTGACATGTTTAACCTCTTAAGCCCAGAAGGCATTTTTAGGGTTGTTTTTTTCTGAGTGACACACACAAAAGTAAAGACTCAAATCCAAAACTATAGCAAAGAGAGTCAAAGGGTAGGTATCGTTTTATCGTTTGATAAAACACTTTTTAAATGATTAGAAAATATAGATATATATTACATTTTGACATGCTCATGCTGAGAAACTGCTGATAAGACTAAAAAAAATATATGTATTATACAAATAGGTAACACTTTACAATATGGTTCATTAGTTAAAAACCTTAGTTAACATACTAAGAATGAACAATACTTCTACAGCATTTATTAATCTTAGTTCATATTAATTTCAACATTTACTAATACATTATTAAAATCAAAAGGTTGTATTGGTTAACATTAATGTACTGTGAACTAACATGAACAAAAAAATGAAACTACAATATAGTTCATTAGTTAAAGGTTCATTAATTAAAATTAGTTAATGCATTAACCAACATGAACTAACAATGAACAATACATTTGTAACTATTTTTTAATCTTTGTTAATGTTAAAGTGTTACCTAAATGTAAAACAAGCATTAATTTGTTCATATAAAGTATCAAAGTAATCATATGGGTTTTATTGAACAACGCTGTTAAAATACACCATGTAAAATAAATGATATAAACTAACAATGTAACTTATGTACATTACGTAAAAACAAATGTCAAACTCAGTGCAAGTGTTAACCTTTTATTTTGAAATCACGATGAACAATTTGCATATATTTCAGAAAGATATTTATGTATTCTCCTATGTTAGCATAGATTTACAAATTAGTTGCGTTACGATTTCGTGAAACGGCGCACACTGCGTGCAGATGAACGATATAAGCCACACAAACTCACAGCACGCAGAGATGGAGTTTGAGAAACCCGAGATGCTGACACGCATATAAATGACAGTGCAACTATGAAACACGCTTCCATTATTGGAAACCTAAACAAACAGCACATTCAGAGAGTGAGTATGTGTGGAGGAGCATTTACTGTGAACAGAGCTGAGGTACTTAACACAATCTGCATGCATGTAAATAATTAAATCGTTGTGCTTCTGTGGAAAACAAAAAAGTGATTTTTTTTTTTAACTGAATCACAGCCTTTGTGATTTCATGATAGCACTTTGCTATATGATGATTGTAAATGGTTTTAAATAGATCGCGTAGCCTTATAAAACGGTGTAATAATGTGGTTCATTGATTCTCATCTGTGGAATGCGCCACTTTCGGTATTTTGCCGGTCACACGACACAGGCAAATTGCAATCGAGGATTTTTTTTAAATCGGGTACTCGACTTTAATCGAGGAATCGTTACAGCCCTACTCAAGTTTAGTCAAAGCCCAAAACAATTATGCTTGATGTATTCTTCTCCGTAAAACCTTTCAAATGACATGACTATCTGAGCTGTATGTTTTCGACATATTGCAGTACATGGAGTAAAAACAAGTTTTCATCATTTATGTAATACTTTTTTGTACTATTTATCAGCATAACCCAGCACTACTTAGGAGTTTATCAAATTGGCTAAATTCATTGTACAGTTCAGACTCTCGTTCAGACTCTCTCTAAGCTTTCAAATGACACCTATTCTGTGTTGATCAAGGAAGTGGTTTTGAAACATAGGATTATACATTTTTTCGTAGCTAGGTGGCGCCCTCTGGCGGTACACTCCTTTTAGAGGGACTACTCAGCACTCGTTAAGAAAAAATTAAAAAGTTGAGTTTCTAAGCTTTAAAATTATACCTCGTGTCATTCCATTCAGTGGTTGCTTAGTAATTTGATAATTTTCTCGCAGGGGGTGTTCGGATTTAAGGGGTTAAAGCTTCTTAACTATACATGTGCTTGGCCACAGTGAGAGGGGGAAATAGAAAGGAGGTCAATGTGACCGCTCAAGGACCGAGGAGAGAAACATTTTTACACAGATCTCTAAAAAGTGGAAGCCTTGTGATTTCACTTACTTCAGGGGGTGGACCATATCTTCTCCTCTCCGCCGCCCTCCGTTCCTGCTCCGACCCTGTCCACCCATGAAGCCAAACAGACCACCGCCAAAAATATGGGAAAATATGTCATCCATCCCACTTCCTCCACAGCCACCTTCTCGCAGACCCTGTTCCCCATAACGGTCGTACAATTCCTTCTTCTCTGGTGTAGTTAGTACTTCATATGCAAAGCTAATCTCTTTGAACTGAAAAGAAAAAAAAGATTACATCTTTGAATAAAGGCATTATTACTACTTTAAATGTGTAGTTCACCCAAAAGTTTACTCACACATCCAAACCAAAAAGACATTCATCTTCAAAACAAGATATTTTAAATGAAACCTGAGATATGTGGCCCTCCATTGAAAAAAAATATCCGTATCCAAGCGGATATTCTCATTTTTCAATCAAGCCCGTTTGAGCGGCTGTTTAGTTTTTCATGTGTTTTTTGAATGTGCACTGACGTATCGATGTAAACAAAAGGCTAATACATCAGTTAATCATATAAAGCTATAATGTCTCTTCAAAAGACACTCAGGTTTCATTAGATCATAGAACTTCATTTGTTTTTCAAAAATAAACATTCAAATAATAAATTAACCAAAACCAAGATTTTATGAATATTTCAACATTTCCCAATTAACCTCAAATGTACAAAATGATCATAATCCCTCCACAACACACTCATTTAACAGTGTTTTAGATTTCTGCATGTCGTCTTATATGAATGTGCACTATATTTGGAAAGAAGTCATTAATAATATTATCATGCAAGTATTCTTACCTTGTCCCCAGCATTTGGATTTTTGTCAGGGTGATATTCCTTTGCTAATTTCCGATAAGCCTGAAATATATTTATGGTTTCAGAAGGTTAGTTTCACTTCAGAAAGCATCAACGAAACATCCCGCATTTAAACAATTCTCTTAACAAAAGGAACAGGTGTAAAAGTAGAACGAGTTACTCTTGCCTGAATATCCTAGACCTAGCATATAAGTTAGCTCACAAGATTTTAGCATATGATTAAGAGAACGACTCCTACGGAGTTTCAGTTTGTGCGTCACATTTACATGAAGCCGCTTGAACAGCGCAAATTAATATCATAATCCAAAAACAACAAACTAGTGAGTTGAAACTACTGACGCTCCTCATTGAACAGATAATTACAGTCTGTTTATCGACTCAGTATGGGTTGCGCCAGAGCTGAAATCCCTCTTCGCCCAAAACATAACATGACTAGCAGCTAATTGTAATTGACAACGAATATAAAATAACCACAGGACCATCATACGCAATTAGTTGTACATGTGACCTATTTGGCATTATGACACACATGGAAAGGGAAAAGCCCAGAGTCAAGGCCTACACACCGGCCACACTGTGATCTGATGCTAACTGTGTTTTCAGCCGCTACATGACGATATAACGTTACATAATGACTGAGTTTAATGTTCAAGTCACGGCTAAGTTCAAACATACACAGGTAAACGGACATAAAAAGACAGCAGATTGGCTTGATTAAAACCCACAACACCGCTCCATCTCGTCGGTTTTGTCCAACGATCTGGTAACTATAGACACTAGGCCAAACTCAAGACGAGCTTTAGCTCAGTGCTAATCTCTCTCTCTTCCTGATTCACACACAAAACTTCACACTCTGAAACAGCGCGAACGAGCACCGAAATTAAAGACAAGACACATAAATCCATACCTTTTTCAGTTCGTTCTCGGAGGCCGAGGGGGAGACCCCGAGAATATCGTATAGTTTGGTATCGGCGACGTTGGACATGGCTTTGCTGAGTGAAGGACTGTCTGCGGGAAGCGGAGAGATGAAGAGAGACACCGGCCGGAAGCGTCAACTTTAACCTCTCCACACGCGCCTCCTCTCACAGTCACAGCACTAGCACATGTCATCATGATATAACGATAACTATTACACACATCCTTCATTTTAACATTAAGAAACTTTATTTTGACGAATATTGTTTAAGAAATGCAATAAAATCATTTTACATATATCCAATCCAACAAAAACCATTGCGTGACTGGTCCATGTTGTCCAAATAGCTGCTGCTTGTGTGAGACTATTCTGAAATGTAAATCGATTCGGGACATCTATCATGGTTTTGTTTATTAATGTTTGTGGCTTCCATATACTATTTTTTTTATTTAATAATTGATTATTATTATGTTTATGTTTATAAATAAAACTTAATATAAAACTTAATACAATGCAATAAAAAAAATCCCACAAAGAAAAATAGCAAATAGCTATTGCGAAGTACAAAACAAATTATGACTTAACAAAAACACATTTCAAAAATAAAATAAAAACTAGAACATGATAAATAAACTGTATTTAACACATATCTTCTAATATAATATAATTTTCTTATTGTATATTATTTTCGATGTGTGTGCTTTCTAGAATGGATCTTTACTATCCCTAATTTTGCATTTTAGGCTCATTTGAGAATAAATTACCTGCATTTGCTTTCAGCCCCCTCTGTTGGTACAAAATAATCCCTACACGATTGCTCTTGTAACCAGCAGGCTATGCAGCGAATTTGTGTTGTGTTTTGATCTTGCCATAAAATTTCAAGGGGCGGCTGGCGACAGCGCACACACGCACACACACACACTCTGGTCCCCCTCTCCTTGTATAAATAAAATGCAGCATCAAAGCAACCATATCACATATGACATGACAGAATCAGTATTTAATTTAGCCTATCATTTTGTAGTTTTATAGTCTAATTTATTATATAATTTTTCATATTTAAAACATGAATTTCATAGCATTAGTTAGATGCATCATCGGCTTCCCCTATAAGCTTGCATGTCGGAGGAAAAATGTTTGCACACAGCAGTGCTGTTCCAATAAACCACGCTGAAATTATAGCCTACTTGGATTGTTTTTTTGTTTTGTTTTTATTTCATATAGGACTATATTATGACCAGAACTTATGGAATTTTTCAAAGTATAGGCTACTTTATCCGCAAATTTCCTCACTGAGCGAAGACAGAGCGCTGTCTCTGATATCAGTGAGCGAGGAGTGGAGCGCGGTGAACCCGCAGTGGAGTGATTATTGAACACTTTAGAACAATTAGAGAGCTCTGTAATAATCGTACTTGTTACTAGTAAGAATTGAATTAGAGAGCTCTCTAATTGTAATTGCTACTAAAGAATTGAATTGTAGAGCTCTCTAATTGAATTCTTACTAAAAATGCAATTACAACGAGTATAGGCCTAACGCTGGGAACAATTTAAGCTAAAATGGCTTGCCATGTAGGCTACTCCGCACCAAACACTTGACTAGACAGGTAAGATACTATGTAATGTCTTAACCAATAAACATATATGCAAAATAAAAATAAATAGCCTAAATAAAAATAAATATCTTGTAGGCAGTGTTGGGCAGTAACGCGTTACTGTAACGCAGTTACTTTTGACAGTAACTCATACTGTAACGCATTACTTTTTAAATAAATTAACTCCGTTACCGTTACCATGGTGCGTATTTCGTTACAGTTTTTAATTAATTTTGACTGAAGTGTAGCCTACAGCCTAACCTGTTAACAGCAGCGACGCATAGCAGGATTGGTGGTATTGCCACCTGTTCCTTAAAATACGGAATTGTCCCGTATTTACAAGTAAAATGATGCGTCACGTATTAAATCAATAAGGGACGCGATTTGTCCCGTATTTTACATAAGGCCCACACATAGCCTATATAGTTGGATAAAAACATAAGGATTTACTATAGCAAATAGCCTATAAAGAAATCAATTTCACAATAATGTCACATTATGATTAGAATCAAATGAATGTTGTCCATTTTCTAAGCTTAGAAAATGCACATTTATACGGGCTGAATTTTATGGGCTTAAAATATTGTTTAGTAATTCTGTGAATTACATTGCGCAAACCAAAGTAGTACTACCCACCGGATGAAGAAGGGTTGGCTCTCAGTCTCCACAGAACAAAATATACATTTTATTTTATTTTTAGTATTCGCATTTAAGAGGAAAAAACAATGTTATGGACGTGTTCTCCGTTACGGACTTGACCGCTCTGAAAGCGGCACTAAAAGATGCTTTAAAACTTTCACAGAGACATCAAACAGAAAGCACAAAACCTTTCTTTAAAATGAATTTCGTTTTGTATTAATTGTATCTTAATTTTGATCAATGTTTCCTCAACCAATTGCCAGGATTTAATAAATAAGAAGTAAATAGCAGACGATAGATAATCACGAAACGGAGGCGCCGGCGCGTGAACTGGAGCTCGTCTCATAAATGAACCGAAACTCGGCGTATAAGGTAGCCTACTTGCCTCACAGACATGTCTACTTTTAAACAGAACAATTCAAAACGAAAGAAAACAGACTACAGACTGCTCTCTGCTTATGTAACAGTGGCGGAGCTAGACTTTTAAAACAGGGGTGGCAAGGTATTATTTTGGGGGGTCAATATACAAAGTGTTCAATTACACTAAAAATTCATTATTTTCCACAAAATGTATATAGATTGTTTGGGTTGGTTGGTTGGGGAAAATTGACAGACACAAACACTTAAAGGAGTCATGGTGTGCATTTGTTTCTTTTAATGAATATATTAACTGCATTTTATACATTTTTTTAAATTATAATAAAAAAATTAATTAAAAAATTTAAATTATTAAAGCATTAACACACAAATCACCGTTTGTGTTATAACATAAAAGCAAGCAGATACTGTGTGCATGCTTTGGCATGACTGCGCGCAAAGTGCGCTCCCTTAATAATTCCTAAACAGCGGACATCAGTTCATCGCGATCTCACACATCTCTGTTATTATCAATAAAGATGACTGCACAATGAATCTTTCATTAGATATATATTCTTTGTTTGTCATAATTAGAGGATTTGCCAGCATCCAGAATTCAGCACTGAACTGAAGTCCGTTTTGAGCGGTGAGGGGGAGTCTATATTGAATGCTTCTGATTGGCCATTGCGTTCAAGAAATCAACACATATGTCTGTGATTGGCTACATCGCTCAACGCTGCAAACATCTTATAAAAAGAAACTCTGGCCTGTAAATCGTTTCTATTTTGTTTTAGTTGTTCTTGTTGCTTTTCTGCAACAGATGAATAAAAATGTATTAGTTTGTATATGTTTTATTCATAGATATTTATAGTTTGTGGGAGTCCCGCGAATCGTTTTATTCTCCCGCAACGCGCACACACAGAAGGTGTTTCTCAATGTCAAGGATACTTCCTTGGTAGGATTGGTCCTTCCAAGTCACTTCCTTCAGAGGCTAGGCGAGGCTCCTCTTTAGCATTCGGAGAACACGTAATGGAACAGGCTAGCAAGTGCACGTCTTTGCGTCATTACGTCACTGAAAAGGTCCGCTTTCGGCGCTTGCTTTAAAAATGGAGAAGATATTTTTGATTTGGATGCTGTACAGCGTTTTTGCTGATATGGAGATGGAGATGGAGTGGTATCGGCGTCAGGCTCGCAGGAGGAGAAAGTTTATTTGTCGCCACCTCTGCCGTCAAAGACGTGGGATGGTAAGTAACGTTGTCGTTAATGATCCTATCATTAATTTAAAAATAATTACATCCATTATGTTATGGGTCAAATTGACCCGCACTGTTTAAACACACTTGACAGTCCTTATTTTGTCTGATCAGCCCTCATATAAATAAATAAATAAAGTAATTAAGTAAGGGATAATGTATAGCGAGGCGGTTGTTATAGAATAAACCCCGCGAATACAACCCGCGAACTCCGGGACGCGGAGGGGTCTTGAATCAGCCTGAAGGGTTTGTATTCGATAACAACCGCCTCGCTATACATTATCCCGCTTATTACATGGCTACCTACCAAATAAATCAACCATTTGAAACAAATATTGATTTATAAAGGAGTTTGTTGATTTAAAAACGATTATATCGCCTGAGTGAACAGAACTGCGTCCATAGCAACATTCTAGCTGTTAAAACACATGCAATGGTAAAATGTGGGTCAAATTGACCTGCACTGTTTAAACCATAGGCGTCATTTACGGGGGGGACGGGTGGGACATGTCCCCACCACTTTTTGCCAGGGTCGATATTGTCCCCACCACTTTTGAAACATCTCGCGTCACGGATGTACCAATACAAATAAAACATCTCCAGTTAACTAGCAGCATTCGTTTCATTCATTTGTTAAATAAGAGGCGATCTAGCGCTGAAATGTGTTGTCTTCACTCGGACGCGCGCTTCAATCCGTTGCAGACGTTCCATTTGTTCTATTCGTTCCAGAGAAATCACAATTCAAAATGCACACAAACGTGTCCCTGCTTCTCTGGGTTCTAATCCGCACTCGTATAGTTTTTTTTTCCCCTCATCAAAACCTATAATGTTTATCAGTGATAAAGTATATCAAGATTCTTGATATACAATTATCGGTTTTGATGTGGGAAAAAAAACTATACGAGTGCGGATTAGAACCCTCAACCTCCGACACGCTTGGCAAAAATTCTGCCACTGGACCATTACAGTACATACGCAACGCAGGCGGAACCAACAACATTATATTAGATCTTAATATAATATTAAATTTAAACCCAAAGTACCATCACATTTTTGGTCGGACATCATCACATCTTTGTATACATTTTTATTTATTTAAATCAGTAAGCTACAGGACATCGGCGTCTTTCAAACCATGACCTGCGCGAAAGAGAAAAAAAGAATGAATGCGTCATTGTACCCAGCACTTTTGAAAATGCCCTTCCGAATGCGTCTCTGTCCCCCCCCACATTTCAAACCACACTGACGCCCATGGTTTAAACACACTTGACAGTCCTTATTTTGTCTTGTCAGCCCTCATAGAAAAAAT